TGTTTACTGCATGAATAATCTTTCAAAAGCATTTTTGATATTAATACCCAACATTTTCACCTTGACAAGTAAAGACAGTAAATTTGTCTGACAATTCAATATTTGATTGTTTCACCTAATGAACCATTCATTTTATATACACACACCCCTATGGATGAGGTTTTCTGAGGGGTCGCTTGAATTTTAACGAAATTTGTCAGGATAACCTGTAAATACACCCTTTCGATGATTATGTAACACATACTTTTTGCTCTTGGAGCCCCAGATCATGATTCATGAGTGCAAGGCACCCAGGCCAAATGACATTATTACTGAAAGGGTGTATTATTAAAATTTTGGATAAAATTCATCCGAAGGGTTGTCTAAAATAGGAAATAATTCTGAGCAGCATGGTATTGGAGATGAGGTTTTCCGAGGGATTGCCTCAATTTTAACAAAATTCTTCAGGGTAACCTGTAAATACACCCTTTCGATTGTTACGTCACACATACTTTTTGCTCTTGGAGCCCCAGATCATGATTCATGAGTGCAAGGCGCCCAGGCCAAATGACGTAATTATTGAAAGGATGTATTATCAAATTTTTTATAAATATTTATCCGAAGGGTTGTTTAAAATAGGAAATAATTCTGAACAGCATGCTATTGGGGATGAGGTTTTCTGAGGGATTGCCTGAATTTTAACCAAATTCTTCAGGGTAACCTGTAAATACACCCTTTCGATTACTACGTCACACATACTTTTTGCTCTTGGAGTCCCAGCTCACAATTCATGAGTGCAAGGCTCCCAGGTCAAATGATGTAATTATTGAAAGGATGTATTATCAAATTTTTTGATAAAAATTTATCCGAAGGGTTGTTTAAAATAGGAAATAATTCTGAACAGCATGCTAATGGGGATGAGGTTTTCTGAGGAATTGCCTAAATTGTAACCAAATTCTTCAGGGTAACCTGTAAATACACCCTTTCGATTATTACGTCACACATACTTTTTGCTCTTGGAGTCCCAGCTCACAATTCATGAGTGCAAGGCTCCCAGGTCAAATGATGCATTTATTGAAAAGATGTATTATCAAATTTTTTGATAAAAATTTATCCAAAGGGTTGTCTAAAATAGGAAATAATTCTGAACAGCATGCTATTGGGGATGAGGTTTTCTGAGGGATTGCCTGAATTTTAACCAAATTTTTAAGGGTAACCTGTAAATACACCCTTTCGATATTTACGTCACACATACTTTTTGCTCTTGGAGCCGTGGGTCTCGATTTATGAGTGCAAGGCTCCCAGGCCAAATGACGTAATCATTGAAAGGGTGTATTAAAATTTTGGATAAAAATTTATCCGAAGGGTTGTCTAATATGGGAAATAATTCTAAACAGCATGCTATTGAGATGAGGTTTTCTGAGGGATCCCTGAATTCTTAGGGTTTTTGCACCAGGACAACAAATTTATGGTGATTTGTGCGGCTGACAGGGAGACGGAGTGATGGGGTTGGGCATTGGGTTTATAATTATTGTAGAATATGTATAATTATTGTTTATAATTATTGCATGTTTTTGCAGGAATATACCCGGGAATGCAAGAATGATTTGGCTGTTCAGATATCAAACTACAATCATCAAATAATGCAATGTCAGCATTTTATTGTTCTCAATGTGAAAAATATTAATAGAAATAAAATATACACAGGCTAGTATCCTGATAGATAGAACATTGTATTATTATAAGGTGTCGCATACACTGGTACTGATGCTACTTTGAGTGTGTTCACACCGGGCAAGCAGAAGAGTTTGCTTGACAGCGGTGGGAATAGAACCCGCGACCTTTGGTTTGCTAGTCCAATGCTCTACCAACTGGGTCATACATGCATGGGGTCAAGTCGGTAAGAAAACCAAAAGTCGTGGGTTCGATTCCCACTGCGATCAAGCAAGAGGAGCATCATAAACAAACAGTGATCTACATATTTATCTATATCCCACTAACAATGAATAAAATCATTCAAAGAAGAAAGTGTGTTTATGTCTGTAATAAGGGTATAGTTTTTAGAAATGAATAGATTCAAACATATTCCCAGCCATGTTGTTGTCATGATATTCAGTGTCTTAGCACTGTTGCAACATGTGACATGATTATGGCTGTCAGCAGGTGGTATGCTATAAATCATTTCTGGCAAATGTTTTTGTCATGAGAAATGAAATCAATATTGCAGGTGAGAAAAAGAAACATAAATTTCCTAGTTCATTCAATATTGTAGAATGCTGTTTTATAGTGAAATAAATCAAGATATTCCTTGAAAATTTGTCTTCCTTGGAATACACTCTTTTAATATTTATGTCACAACTCCTTCCTTGTCCAGGAAACCTTTTGTTCATGAATTTATTTTTTTATGAGAGTGTGGCTTCTAGACCAAAGGGGTATTTGTAATTTAATTACCTAAAGGGTGTATTGAGATGGGTGAAAGTAAAAATATACTTAATGTCCTCACCGTTTAATAAATATATATATATATTGAGATATTTAATATAACGACACGCATAAGAACACAAGGTTTGTGGGGTTATGGAAGTGTGGGACAACTGCTCTATATACTGTATTTTTTATCTGCGAAGAGCTGGGTGCTGAGCGGTTCCCAGGGCATATACTCGTATTGAAAAGCTGGATCTTGGGGAAAGTCGATTAGGACATATACTGATTTGCAGCTGGGTCCTAATCTGCCCAAGACATATACTTTTACGGATTTTGAGCTGGGTCCTGAGTCGGCTAGAACATATACTCCATTTAGAGCTGGATCCTAGCCTGCCCTGCAAGACATATACTCTGAGCTGGGCCCTGGGAAAAAATGATCAGGGAAATATTTCTTAGAACACTGATCTGGCTCAGCACATATACTCATATGCAGAAATAGAGTGATTTTTGTAAATGGGAATTGGCTGTATGCCAGGTTGCCAAATTCCGTAAAGAAAACGTGAGGTCTATGGTAAAATTGCGACCTCATACTAGAGCAATTGCCTCAAACACTTCATTCTTTATTTATTATTTTTTTAAATACATAATAACATTGATATAACAGTCTAGTGAATGTCGATAAGCGTTTAATATCCAACGAAGATAATATTTATATATAGATCTAAATATAGTTCAATGTTCCCGAGAATTCAATATCACTCCCTAGGCGGGCCCATAACATACCGTAATTACTTCCAAGTACCATCTTGTACCATCTCGTTACATCAGGGAAAAGGCTGGAGCATGGGGTGGTTGGTGGGTGACTCTTTAAATCAGTCTTTACAGCTCGCAATCCAAGTAAGAATGATATAGGCAGATAAAGCTAACTCGGATATCTGCCCATGTTTAACTATAGTTTCATTGTTATAGTTATGAATAGGTCAAACATAGTGGTTTGGACAATAATTAATAAACGATACTGGGTGCAGTAGCCTACGGGTTTGGCAAGCAAATAATGAAAGTCTGTGATAGAGTCTTCCTTTGTTTAGACAATAGTAGCTTTCGAGTTGGCTTAACATAAACATTTTAAATCTATAATTTTTAGGTCTAGCGCATTGAGTATCGTCCATTAACAATAATTTGTACTCGTAAAAATTACCATTGTAGTTATATGTAGATGGTGGTGATCATATCTTGGCAATATTGCTTAAAAGGACAATGCTCTGAAATGCAACAATATTTTACTTGCTGTATTTACATTTTACTGATTTTATAGAGCATGCTGTATAAAAGTAAGAGAAATCTTACTGTTTATAAAGAATTATTTTTGTTTTTCCCAAGGAAGCAAAGAGGCTCGCAATACTCAGGAGTGGTTCTCACCAATCTCTGATCCCAGCATGGAAAATAGCTCTAAGGGAAATAGGGAATATCTTATATCTCGATATATTTCACCATGAAATGGATGTGTAATACTCCGCTGAGTCGACGACTTATTACTGACAGCCAAAATTTCCGCAGCATGCCATTTTATAGCCATTTTATTAATATGCCAACTGAGAGATCGGCAGAACGACTTTCAGTCGGAGTCCAGCTCCGATTCTACGGCCACTGTGCACAAGGCATCCCTAGCCTGCGTGCAGCCTGACTTTAAAGGGGAGAAAGTCAGTGTGCGAATCAGGGAACAATACCGTGTTCGCGCCATCTTTTGAATTGCATGGATTTCTGTATTCAAACGTGATTGGCTATTGCTCAGAAGCTTAATACACGCGCTGTACGTGATTGGCCAATTGTTAATACATTCAGTTCTACAAAATGATATACAGGGTGTCCGTATCACTGTACCCGTATTGTTACAATTTGAATACACTAGCACTAAGCTGAACGTAAACATGCGTAAAATATTGGCAGGGTGCATATATTAAATATTTGACTTATTAAGAAATTAAAATATCTTTGTAAAGCACACTGCTCTTGGGAATTTTAAACAACTTCTTAAACAGTTTCTTCATGCATACAATTTAATTATGTCAAGCTTTGATGCACATGTGGGTTCAGCAGAGTGCTGAGGCATTCAAATTCTGACAATACGTTATTTCAATAGTTTTTGTGATTTTGGGACACTCTGTACTTTTGGGACACTCTGTACCACCATTTTTTCATTCTGGAATGTGTTTGAACTGAATGTATTAACAATTGGCCAATCGAAGCGCGTGTATTAAGCTTCTGAGCGATAGCCAATCACGTTTGAATACAGGAATCCATGCAATTCAAAAGATGGCGCGAACATGGTTTTGTTCCCTGATTCGCAGACTGACTTTTCCCCCTTTAAAGTCAGGCTGCACGCAGGCTAGGCATCCCTTATCTTCATCGCCCTCGCTTTTCCCATCATTTCCAGCATTATGGCAAACAACTTCTTGTAAAACTACGTAAATAGTCCTAAATTTTCCACTCTGTTCGCCCACCATTTTGAAAGTTTCGCTCTGTATACTTCATGTAACTTGCATGTTTTGAATACTTTTCCAACGAAAACCGCTGCCCACCGCGTATCGCATATTGGCGCTTTTGGATGCATTTTTGACAGGCGTGCTCAATTAACAATAATGCTTTGTAAACAATTATAATGTGGATGTAAATTACATTTCAATACATGACAAAAGGTGATATTTTTATGGGGAAAATAAATGCTCAGCATAATTCATATATATATATATATATATATATATATATATATATATATATATATATATATATATATATATATATATATATATATATATATATATATATATTCGCAATATATTTATATCAAACATAATGTAGGAAATAATCCAAAAATAGATAGAAGATAGATAGATAGAACGTTTAATTAAATCAATATTTACAGTCTTGTGACTGAATTACTATTGAATTTACAGAGTGAAAATATACGAATATATATATATATATATATATATATATATATATATATATATATATATATATTACCTACAAGGTTGCATTACGTGCGCAATATGGAATAAAGGAATTACTAAATCTGTTCGTGTGCATCTTGGGAAGATTATATTTTCTGTTTGTTCTGAGATTGTTTGGTTGTAAATTTTTCGGTGGCAATTGTTCTTTTAACTTATAATCATCATTTGCTTCGATTGATGAAAAGAGTTTTACAATAGGCCCTAATCGCCTACGAGCGGGTATAGGACGTCACGTGATAAAACAAATGTTTTATATTATTTTTAGATGTTAGTTTGTTCGCATTATACGAATGGGAAAGGTCGGGTACATATGAATGTTTTTTGTCCTGTTTTCTATGTATTTGTAAAATGCTTTGTGTGTTCCAGCGTACAGTAGCTTATAATATATATGTCCTGTTTATGTAAAAAAAAACACCTTTAAAGCGATTAAGTTTTGTACGAAATAATATTGTTTCAATATTTACGATTTATGGTGCGTTTCGGACAGTCCTTTTCAAGATATTTGACAGACACTCATCAAGGTGTGGCGAGATAATCTTAACTGAAATACACAAGTTTACGAAACAAATAAACAGCCAAAAAAACTTCTGATAAGATATTCTTTATGTATAGCGACGTTTGGCATGAAACAGCCGAAATCCCTGAAGACACTAAGATGTTCCGATATTGCTGGAAATTTTGAACCACATTGAGAGGAAAATTCGCTAAAGGCACAACAATATCTCAAGATGATTTCTAAGTTGCGTCTAGGCGTCTCGAAGTGCATGCGATGCACACGAATTTCGCTTTCTCTCGTCTTGAACAATATGGCTCGGCCTTCAAAATTTGGTTTACGTATATGTTCTCTGACTCTCTGACTAAATAAACACAAATGTAAAACCTCGGGTAAACTCCCTCATTTCGACACCAACAGGAGCAATGCCTGCCTACAAATGTTATCTCCTTCACAAACTTTGTTTTATTTTATCGTATAACCGGAATTATCAAATATTCGGGGTATTGTCAAACTGTCAAATTCGGTGTCGCTACAAGAGAATCTTGAACAGAATATAGTGAGACTATGCATAACCCTCGCGTAGAAATATTCCAGTGCCTAAATTAGTAGTTTCAATTCATTGTTTGTCTTGTTTCTATTTGTCAGTATAGAATATTCTAGATTGAACTATTACTACAATGCAATACGCGTAGTATTTCAACAGACATTTGCACCAGATTTTAAATGCTGTAGAAGGAAAACTACAGCTAAAAAGTAGACTCTTGCTCCGTAAGGAAATATCACAGTTCACGGCGACACGGTTTTTGGGTTTTGTGACTGGTCGATGCGAAAATAAATGATACAGTCGGAAAAACTGAAAACGGACATACAATTTACCTTCTTACTAATTAGTATTTTGCAAAAAATACTCGTATACACAAAATCATAAAATTACATAGTTGAATTGTTATGTTGAAATGTTATTGTAAAGTTCTGATATTTTGGACAATATGTTGTTATAGCCAATCAGTATGCAAAATTGACCGGTCCAGATCAGGGCTTTCTCTTCTCTCCTTTCGTCCTTACATGAAAATCTTGGGAATGA